TATCAGTAAAGCCGGTTCTGTAATCAGCGGTAAATCTCCATCACCTGCGTGCTTTCACATTGAGCAGCATTAACTACACAGAGCCGTTGTTCACTGATGAGCAGCGCAAATATGAACGAGGTTTAGCGCAGCTCGTCAGTGAACAACGGCTCTGTGTAGTTAATGCTGCTCAATGTGAAAGCACGCAGGTGATGGAGATTTACCGCTGATTACAGAACCGGCTTTACTGATAAGATGCGCGTTAAATATCGCATGCGATTAATCGTGCAGCCCTATTGTAAAGTGATACCTATTGGTCTTTATAGTTCTTTTGCACTTTAATCTGTGTAAAACTTTGAACTTTATACATTTTTCTTTATTGCTTTATTGCATTTAAATGTTCAGTTATTTTTGTTATAAGAAAAAAGTTATTAAATCTGTTATACTGTATTATGACAGCACTTTTGTTAAACTAGATTTCAATACCGTGATAATACTGCATACCGTGATAAAAGCATTAGCAATTAATCGCAACATGAAAATTTGATACCGGCATATCCCTATTGCTGTCTATGCAAGGCCAGACAGCTCTCAGATTCCATCAAAAATATCTTAATTTGTGTTCTGAAGATGAACGAAGGTCTTACGGGTTTGAAACGACATGAGGGTGAGTAATTAATGACAGAATTTAGATTTTTGGGTGAACTAACCCTTTAAGCATTTGAAACACATTTTTGAGTTTCGGCAGTTCAGTCCACACTGAGGCAGATTTTTCAAGATGCTCTCCTAAGTGCATAAAGTTGAAAATGCTGTTTCTGCATTGTAGTGTGAACTGTGAAAACTGAGGTATTAGATGAGCACATTTTGGGAAACACTTGAAAATGCTAGTGTGGACAAAGAGTGTTTTGAAATGAAAGCAGAGTTTTCAAATATATCCGGATTAATGTAGAAGTAGCCTCGATGTCACAATTGGAGTGATACGGTTCACAATGCTGGTCACAGCAATTCTCAAGTTAACACTAGCAAGAAAGATTATAATAGTTTAAATTTTGGTCTGTTTATGATACATTTATGGTGATTTTACATAATTTTTGAAGTAGCTCCAATCCCTAGAAGAGCAACCGGTGCATTTCTTAAAAACGTCTCCTTTCTCGTTCCACAGAAGAATGAATTGAAAGACATACATGTTTGGTACAACATGGGAGAGAGTCATTGATTTTCAAAAAATCTCAATAATATTATCTTAACCTCACATACTTGCTCTACTTACAATTCACAAATCAGGGAGCGTGGCATTAAAATGCCGTCTAGAGGAAGCTGCATCGTAGACCCTCTGTAAACACTTCAGCTGGCATCAAAACCCAAACACAACAAACCATGGCAGATCACAGGCTCATTATGCAAGGACATGCATTAAAAATTCAGAGGCTGCACAAGTGCAGGAAACCGGCTGGATAAGATACTGTTCTGTATACAGGAAGGACCTCTGTGAATATCATGTTCAACTGATCACTCAATTTCATTCATTTTAAGACATCATTTCGGTTTCCTCTCTCTCTCTCTCTCTCTC